TGACTGTCTCACAGCTTTGAACCAAAGAAACATTGGAGACAAATGGCCAGATAGGAAGCCTAAGGAAAGCTATTGCAAATACGGGTCTGCAAAAGTCTTGAAAAGTTGAAAATGTCATGAACTTTCTTCAACAGCTTTCCAAAAATTGTCGAACGTCTGTTCTTGCCATGTCTACATCTGACGGAGGAGGCGTGCTGAGGGGGCATGGTCTTGGCTCGCACATTTGAGCGCACATGCCTTAGTGACAAAAGTCGCGGGTGCTATGGACACGGCTATGTCATAGTTAGCATGCTTCAACAAGAAGTGATGTGTCATGTCATGATTTTCAGAGCGACAGCATGCGACAGCTACAATTTCTTCGGCACAAATCATGTTCATTCTGAAGCTCAGTTTGGGTTCCCAACTCCACAGGCTCGTCGCCCATCACTTTGCGCCGAAGGGTCTTGTGCTCATCCCTGTGAGCGTTCACAAGTTCACCCATGTGCTTGTTTCGCCTTCGTTGACCGATCCTCCTGATGTAGTAATTCAAATGAATATGCCTAGATATGCCTGGTCTGATTTTGAGTCTGATGATGAGCTGATGTACCTGATCTTCACATAACAATTAGGCACAGGCACCGAAGCTTGCGAACATCTTCCAAAGCTTTCTTCTTCCAATCCTCCAACTCTTGGACCTGGAGCAAGACGTGGACTGGAGTCGGCTAGAGTCGGCTAGAGGTATTTCAAAGTCATCCTTCTGCTGAAAATTTGATAAGTTTGGAATAAAGATGATAAAGTTGAATAAAGTGATCCTATTTCAGCTTGCACAACCAAGAAATTGTTGAGTGAATGGGCTGTGTCCAAACTTGACAGCTCGTGACTCAGAATAAAGCAGACAGCCCCTAAGTCCCTAAGCATCAGAATTTGAGCCACAATAAGCCCGCAAGGATCCGCAAGGCATCTATGCCATCTCCCTTTTTGGCTGTCCTACACTTGGCCTTGTGTTGCAAATGGATCACAGTACCCCACAATGACCTGGCAGATTGTCTGAAAGACCGTAGAAACAAGACCTATATATGAGCAACATTGAGCAACTCTAGCTCCACTGGACTCCACACTCTGTATCGCGCCCAAAACACATCTCTCTGCGCAACATATTGGTCTTTTGGCAGCACAAAACATCCGTGTAATTGGTGTGAGCTGTTGCTGTCGGATTGCATCCAGCATGAATATGTTGCCTCCTGCGATGGATGAGCATGTATCTGCAGGAGGAAACACAGGCCAGTTTTGCTGAAAGTAGGCCGCCAGTTCAGTGGCACACTTTGAGGCGATTTCCTCAGAGGCACAAGTCATGCTGAGCAGACAGGCGGCCACCATAAAATTCGCCCAGGTCCTGCACTGATCATTTTAAACAATGCGCTAACATCTTTTAACCAATGGAAGTAGTGGGCAAGTTGCGCCCGGGGAAAAAAAAACATTCTCAGGTCACAGCCGCTTGATACTGCGCATTCAGATGGAGTGCAGCGCCATCGGCAGTTCCCTCCTCCAACGATCCAATGCTGTATGTGTGCCTCTGTGTGTGTCTCTATTTCTGATTGTCTGTGCAAGGGAGCGAGATGTGCAGAGATAGAAATACAGATAGGCTGTTGTATTAGATGGAGTGTCGGTGTGCATTGATCAATTTTGATATATATATATATATGTTTATTTATTTATTGAGTTATTTATTGATTTATTTATTCATTTATTTATTTATTTAATTATTTATTTATGTGTATACATATATATATATATGTCATAACTGAATAAGTAATATAATTGACTAATGTCATCAATTATGTATATATATATATCAATATCTTAGTGTCATCAACATTGCGATTACATGCTATTACTGTGTTTTCATGTTCCCAGTCGTTCAACCAGTGACATTATCCCGAGTGGCTTCGGATGGAGTCCTTCCAAGGTCCTGCCACCCAGTCTGGTCCAGAGTCAGCTTGCGATCCTTCAGGGAGACATCTCGGAAACTGTCGCTGATATTCAGTTTCTACAGCTTCCAGATCGTGTTCAACCTGGTAATCTCTCATTTTGAAAAAGCATTCCACCACACATGCAAAATGAGAAGTTGTTTCGGATAGGGCAGCCCCGATCAGCACACTGCCTGCCAGATTGGAGAAAGGTTCGGCAGCCGGACTAAGTTGGCTCATGGCACCTCCACAGAATGAAAATGAAAACTTCAAAGACTGTCGTCACGGATACCTTGCGCACAGCGCTGACAGCGCTGATGGTCTTGTGTAAAAAAACAGTTAAAACATGTTAAAACATACTGCAACATATTGAAACATCATGTTAAGCGACTTTGCGGCCTGCCTGCTCTGGATTCGGCAATTTACAGCAATTAGGGAAAGCCCAGCACCACTTGCTCTGAGCACACATTTGCAGAACAGAACTAGCAAAGGCAATGGGGGCCAGCACCTCTCAAAGACCAATGATCAAATTCCAAGTTTAGAGATTTATCGATTGATCAAATATATATATATTTATTTATCGTCACCTCAGGAACAGTCAAAAGATGTCAAAAGAATATCTAACAACTATCCAAGATCATGAATACAATCTGGCAAAAGAAGACACTGGGCTTTGTTGTCATTTGTCAAATTTGTTGTCCCTTCATAAAACACTGCAATTCTCACGTCGCGCGCTGATTTTGCGTCTTGTTGCGCTCCGAGGTGATTCAAGGATCACGCTTGGCATGCCCTTGAGATTCGCAACGCAGCTGAAGCCGTGGAGAAGGCCATAGCATGCCAGGCTTGAAATGCAGTGCACACAGCTGTCGGCTGTAGATCCACAAAAATCACAAAACTCAGCATGGCTTCGCTACTTTTCGCTCCGGGACTGACAGGGAACGCGTTTGCAACGCTTTGCAGTCAGTTCCAACTCCGGTGCCGGGCTGGAAGCTCCGCTGACAGGTCCCTTTTCAAATCTCTCCACATGTTTTCACACGTCAAAGATGGGGAACAAAACAACACTAGCAACAATGACAACAAAATAGTTTATTTTATATGTATATATATAAATTAAATATATAACGAAAATATATATATAACTATATAACGAATATATATATATATATATATACATGGTGCAAACCGTTCACAATCATTCACACTGTCACATCGACAAATAACAGACTTGACTGCAAAATACTTGGAACGTAGGGACCATGTCAGTGAAAACACTGTCAGTTGCTTCCAGCTCCAGTGATTTTGGCCCCGGGATCTGCTGCCAATGTGCAAGTGAACTGCTCTCAATGAGTGCACATTGCTCCTGTAGCGGTGTTCAGCGATGTTCCACGGTGAACATGGGACTTGTCTTGTGTTGTGCACCTTGTGCACCTCCATGCACCTCCTTTTATCGTTCTGAAGTATTCAATTGTTTTCAATGCTCAAGTCGCCACGCACAAAAAAACCTTTCAGGGCATTTCGTCTATTCCATGCATTGTCAGCGAAACACCAAAATCTAAATTTGGTACAAAGGCAAGCTGGGTTTCCAAGCACAAAAGCACGAGCAGGTCTAAAAACCAGGACCCATAGGGGCCATAGGGGCGATAAAGGTCCACAGAGGCTATAGAGGCTAGATTTAGCCTGAGATGATAGAAACAGATCATGACATATCCCCCAAATTCTTTTGATCCAAGTTCTTGGCAAAAATGTGTAAGCCGGCCTGTTGAGGCCGCAGGCACGTTGGTGTTCACAACTTGGCCAATGCCTGGACATTATCGAAGTATGTGCAACTCACGGATCTCACTATTTCAGGTACATAGAAAGCTACCAGATAGTGCCCGGCACGCGCCGGGGCAGAAGCAATGAGGTGTTGAAGTTGTGAGGTGCATCAACGAATGACCAAATGGCTGTTGAGATGAAAAAAGAAATGAAAAAATCCATGCACAGGTCACTGAATGAACCAATGAATTAAGGATTCAACGAACCAATGAGTCACCCGATCGCTGAATCAACAAATCAACAAAACAATGAACCAGTGAATCGCAGAATCAATGAACCAATGATTCAACAAGTCAACGAATCAATGAAACGTGAAGCAACAAATCAATGAATCAATGCTTCACCGACTGAATGAACCAATGAATCAGTGAATCAATGATTGAACGATCCAGTGAGTCAATGAATCAACAAATCAATGGTGAATCAATGAGCCAGTGAATCACTGAATCAGTGAATCAAATAATCAATGAGCCCATGAAGCAATCAATGAGTCAACTAAAAGAGGAGTGAATGGAATGGACTGGAAAGGAAATGGAAATGGAGTGGAAATGACATGGAATCGGAATGGGAATGGGAATGGAAATGGGAATGATAATGGAAATGGAGTGGAAATGACGTGGAGTGGGAATGGAAATGGAAATGGAAATGGAAATGGGGTGGAAATGAAATGGAATGGGAATGGGAATGGCAATGGAAATGGAGTGGAAATGAAATGGAATGGAAATGGAAATGGAAATGGAAATGGGGTGGGAATGAAATGGAATGGGAATGGAAATGGAAATGGAAATGACATGGGAATGGGGGGGAATGGAATGGGAATGGAAACATGGAAATGGAAATGACATGGAGTGGGAATGGGAATGGGAATGGGAATTGAAATGGAAATGGAAATGGGGTGGAAATGAAATGGAATGGGAATGGGAATGGAAATGGAAATGGAAATGGAGTGGAAATGAAATGGAATGGGAATGGGAATGGAAATAGAAATGGAAATAGAAATGGGGTGGGAATGAAATGGAATGGAAATGGAAATGGACATGGAAATGGAGTGGAAATGACATGGAATGGGAATGGGAATGGAAATGGGAATGGAAATGGAAATGGAAATGGAAATGGGGTGGAAATGAAATGGAATGGGAATGGGAATGGGGTGGAAATGGAAAGGGAAATGGAAAGGGAAATGGAAATGGAAATGGAGTGGAAATGAAATGAAATGGAATGGGAATGGGCATGGAAATGGAATGGAATGGACTGGACTGTAGTGGAATGAACCAATGAACCAATGAACCTATGAATCATTTAATCGACGAAGCAATGAATCAATGGCTCAATGAATCAAATATTCAGTGAATCAACGAACCAAGCAAACAATGAATGCATGAATTTTGCCAACTTCATCTTCTTTCAGTTTTGACATGCAAATCGAGCTCTCGCTACTGTCGCGTGCACATTTTGACAACTTCATCTTCCAAAAGCGCCTTGAACCCTGCAGTTTGTTTGCGATTTCGCAGCACAACGCAAATTCATTGAAATTCAAACCAAGGTCTCGCTACAGTCTCGTGCGCATGTCGCCAACTTCATCTTGCAAAAATGGGCCGATCCATGCAGTTTTTGCGATTTGGAAATCTAAATGGGTGATGATTTTTATTGGATTTTTTTGGTGTTGTTTAGGATTTGTTTGTGTTCAGCAGTCTGGGGCAGTTTTCCTTGCCATTTGCTACATTTTGGGGCTAAAATCTCTGATTCGCGTGCCATTTGCTGCGATTTTGGAGCCAAAATCTCTGATTTGCGGGCTATTTGCTGCATTTTGGGGCTAAAATATCTTTGATTTGCGTGCTATTTGCTGCGTTTTTGAACTAAAATCCTTCATTTTGTATGCTATCTGCAGCATTTCGGAGCTGAAGTCGCAAATTTGGGTAGCTAAAATCGTAAATTTGCACGATAATTGCAACATTTTAGTTTTCACCCATTTTCCCATGATGTTCAACGATGTCTGGATGGTTTTCATCGCTTTCTTGATCGTCTTCAATGATCTTTCCGTGATTTCAATGATTCTTTAGGGTTTCTTCTAAGGTTCCTGAGGGTTTAGGGTTTCATTTAGGGCTTCTATAGGGTTTCATTGAGGGTTTCTTTATATAATGTCGTTTAGGGTTTCTTTTAAGGTTTCTTTAGGGTTTCATTTAGGGTTTCTTTAGGGTTTCATTGAGGTTTCTTTAGGGTGTCGTTTAGGGTTTCTTTAGCGTTTCATTCAGGGCTTCTTTAGGGTTTCTTTGGGGTTACGTTTTTGGCTTCTTTAGGATGTCATTTAGGGTTCGTTTAGGCCTTTATGATGTGATTTAGGGTTTTTTTAGGGTGTCGTTTTTGGCTTCTTTGGTATGTCATTTAGGGTCTCTTTAGGGTTTCATATCGGGTTTCTTTAGGGTTTCATTTCGGTTTTCTTTTGGGGTTTCATTTCGGGTGTCGTTTAGGGTTTCTTTAGGGTTTCATTTAAAGTTCCTTTAGGGTTTTAGTTTGGGTTTCTTTAGGGTGGCGTGTTTGGCGTCTTTAGGATGTCATTGAGGTTTCATTTAGGGTTTCTTTACGGTTTCATTTACGGTTTCTTTAGCGTTTCATTCAGGGCTTCTTTAGGGTTTCATTTGGGGTTTCTTTAGGGTGTCGTTTTTGGCTTCTTTGGGATGTCATTTAGGGTCTCTTTAAGGTTTCATTTAAGGTTTCTTTAAGGTTGAATTTAGGGTTTCATTTAGGGTTTCTTCAGGGTTTCTTTTAGGGTTTCTTCAGGGTTTCATTTAAGGTTCCTTTAGGGTTTTATTTCGGTTTTCTTTTAAGGTTTCATTTAGGGTTTCTTTAGGGTTTCTTTTAAGTTTTCTTTAGGGTGTCGTTTAGGGTTTCTTTGGGTTTTTTTAAGTGATGGTTTCGTTATTTTCTTACAACAGCATGCATACAAGCTCCTATACTCGATGTCTGTAGTTTTTGTGCAGTTTGCATGAAATATATATATGCAATGTATTACATGAAATGTTGTATGCAAACTACAATACCAAAACCCAACAAACGCCAAGAGCCAAGTGAAGTGAACGGCCAAAACCAAAGCCAAGTGACACCAAAACCAAAAGCCAAAAGCCATGAGCTATGAGCCATAAGCCAAGTGAAGCCAAGTGAAGCCAAGTGAAGCCAAAGCCAAAAGCCAAAGCCAAAAGCCAAAAGCCAAGTGGGCACGCAAATGGGAGATTCTAGCTCCAAAATGCAAGCAAAACACAGATTTTAGCTCCAAAATGCAGCAAATAGCAAGGAAAGCTGCCCCAGGCTGAAAAACCGAAAAAAAAATGTATGTATATATATATATATACACCCTCCAGTCCAAATCGAGTTCTCGCTACAGTATGGCGCACATTTTGCCAATCTCATCTTCCAAAAGAAGTCCAAACGCTTCAGTTTTTTGCACTTTTAAATGTGAATTCAGCTCTCGCGACAGTCTGGCGCACATTTTGCCGACCTCATCTTCCAAGAGTGCTCCGAACGCTTCAGTTGTTAAACCGTTTAACTTTTAACATTTTAAAGTGCAAACCGAGTTCTCGCTACAGTCTGGTGCACATTTTGCCGACCCCATCTTCCAAAAAGTGCTCCGCGGCTGACAGATTTTTTTAACATCTTGAAGTGCAAATCGAGCTCTCGCCACAGTCCTGCGCACTTTTTGTCGACAACTTTCCCAGATCGAGGTCGACAACCGCGGAAACAGAGACCCTACTTCGGCGACCCCTGGATGCGCGTTACCCGACAAAACACAAGGTTTTGTGCCCGGGAGCGCTTTCACCCGTTCATGCACACGCTCCCGACTGTGAGTCTCCTCTACTGCTACCACGCGCGAGCGGCTCTTGCTAACTATGTTGTTGACATGATGATGATGATGACGACGACGACGACGACATTATGACGTTATGACATTATGACATTATGACATTATGACATTATGACAATATGACATTATGACATTATGACATTATGACATTATGACAAGACTGCGCCTGGACATTCGTCCGTAACTCCGAAGTTTTCGAACTAAACTTCTTTTGACAAAGTACCGCAACCATCAGCAACCAACAATTTGAGATGTAGCCCACTGGAAATAGATGGAAATAGCTTGAACTGTTGAACACTACTCAGGGCAGCACCAACTCCACTAACAGGCACTGGGACGGTAGGTGCCTCGTGCAGTCCCCCCATTTGCCCTTTTCTGTGCTCCCAACAGTGGCTAAAGCCAGCTACCAATGCGTGCATCATGTGCATCCCAAACGCACACCTCTCAAACCCGTCTCTTCCCATCCTCTCCCTAAGGCTTTCACAATCTGTCTTGGCTGTCTTGGTGCGTAGCCATGGACCACTCCTTGCTTCAGATATTATCTCAGCAAGAAACTGTACATAGAATCCCGGATTCTCTACTGCACCACAATATACTCAAGACTTTTCCAACTACCATTACGGTTTCTCCTGCACAATCCATGATGTCGAGTGTGACGACAGGCTGTGGCGCACAATTGGCTCCAGGCTCCTTGTGGGCTAGTTGCTCGAGTCACTGCTGCTTGTCAAACGAAACACACCAGTGAGAACTCCAGTAGTATGTGTGGCAATAAGCCAACTGCTCAACTTTCGCACCTCTACTCTGAAAATCTCTCTGAACAAACATGGGAGGAACATGATGAGGAATGATAGCAAATGATGAACATGAATCGTTTCAAACGCCCATGATTTAAAAGCAATTGCTCCTCCATCTTCCTTCGCCTCTTGCCTTGGCCGCCTTGGCCATTGGCATCCTCTTCTTGTGCACTTTGAAAACGCCTGGGAAAGCCATGGAACGCTTCACATCTTTGTCGCATCGTTTGTCACAACTTTGATCACCCCTCTTCATGGAGGTCTTGCAAAAAAAAATGAAGCACTTGGGCACTGTCCCAACAGCTGGTGAAGGGCGAGGCACCGTTTCAGCATTTTGTACGCGTCGACAATGATCACAAATTCCTCTTGAGCTGTGCAACTGTGCTTTCTGCGTCCACAGGTGTGGTCACTCGAGTCACTTCATCCGGACATGTTTTATCAAAAGCCTTGTGACTGCTGAATATGCTGAATTGCACTACACTGCTCATTTACAGAATAGATTAGCCAGCAAATTCTTTGGATATGCTTAGAATTGTTTGCCTAATAAAAGTTTGCCTAAAATCTAAGGTGATTTACCTTTGGAGCATAAGCCAAGTCCCTCCAACCCTCCCATGCAAGGAATCTTCATAAACCCTCTTCAAATGGCCTGGGGTATGCTCCAGGGGTCTGTTGGATTTGTCTTAGATAAAGGCGTATTGGACCATGACAGGCGTCGACGATAACAAATCATTCAGAGATTTGACGGTTTCCTCGGGGAATTGCTCTGGAGGAAATTGCCGCAGGCGCCCGACAAAGGCCTGTCGGACCTGGCTGTGGCGATTTCCAGCAGAATATTCTTTACACGATTCGCAACACAAAAAACACCAAACATATCAAAAAAAACAAATACATCCAAAATATTCCAAAATACAGAATGGATCTGCTCTCAGAGTCTACTTTCTCAGTGGTGCAGAGTCTTGGATCATTGGATCTTTGGAATTCCTTGAATGTAGAAGAATAAAATGGTTCTTGAAGCGACCGTACTTGCATCAAGTCACTCATGACTTTATCTCAATCATTGAAAGAGGTTTCGTAGCTGCGTCAAAGTTGGTACCATTGCCGCAGATCATGATGAAAAGCACAAGGTATAGCAGGAACCATAGCACATGTACAACGATGTCAGAAGATGTCAGAAGATGCCTTATTTCTATGTCGCTTCATCCAACGGACTGCAAACACAAAATCCTTCCCAAAAATCCAATCGCAATCAAAGTCAATCAAAATAAAATGAAAAAATGAAAGTATATGAAAGTATCACCTCTTGAATCGGTCCATTCTGGTCCATTCTGGTCCCTTTCAAGACACGGAATTTGAAAGTCACCTGCTGCCAACAGCTGGCATCGGCAAGCCCAAGAACCTCGGCGCAAAGTTCGAGACTCACATATCTCACAGAAAGCTGCGTTGGGCAAAACCCAAAAATCCCAAAACAAAAAAATGGTGGATAAATATGGATAAACTATGATAAATGGGGAGATAAAATGAGATAAACTATATGATCTGTATGGATTCAGTCATCACTTTCGGTCACTTTCCCTGAAATCAATCTCATTATATAGTTAGTTCATCTCAATTCCCAAAGGCTCTAAAAGCGGATCTAGCAGCGAGAGGCTTGCAACATGTTCTGGACCTATGACCAAGTCGGAATGAATTGCGCATGCGGCATATGGAATGACTTTGTGCGACATGCCATCCAAGTGGCAGCAAGAGGACTCAGACCCCCTTGGCTCGGTAAAGCCCCGGCTGAGGCCTGCCGTGCATCGGAAATCTTGGGAAGTATCCCGACTTGTTCTCACGGATGTCAACTTTTGCAGATGAAAATTTACATGTGCACATGATTGCGACCAAGGTCTCTGCAACTAGAAATGACACATGCATTGCAATATACTGCATATCTATTGACGAGACAGGATGATGCAGGTACCGGACCTTCTATATGCAGGCAGTTGTGATGAGACAAAAGTAGACAAAGTCTTTCAAGCGCATCCTCTCCAACTACTGAAGTACATTAAGTATCATTATGTATCATCAAGTTACTCTGAATAATAAATGTGTTTTTTAGGATGAAGTGGAGTGTGTCTGGACGCCAGGCAAAGTCATCTTGACCCTAACGAAGGCTTTTTGATGCTTTTTTGAATATGGTGTGCCCTTTTGCCCATGTTCATCAATGTTCCACTTGTTCCACTTTAAGCTCTGCGCACCGGAGTGAAGCCCAAGTCGCGAAGTCGATGCACCGCTGCTTCTGCCTTCAGGGCTCATGCTGAGCCGCAGAAAACGTTCAGAGAAGATTGGAGAAGTGCCATCTTGCACCAACGTGTCTCTGGCAAGTATTGGCTGCCAAGTCAACAAAGATCAATACACTCACAAAGGTTGCCTCGTGTGAAATAGTGCGCTTCATCCATCAAAGGCGCAAATGCCGGTCCTTAAGAGGCTCTTTGATCAATTTCCAGTACAAGTAGTTCGCAACTGGCCACGCTGAATGAATGTGTTCAATATAGACCGACTCACAAGTCGTGCTACCAAATGGACAAGCAAAATCACCCGTTCCAAAACACGCTATGTCAGATGAATCGTGAAGAACAAGGCATAACAAGGCAATATAGACCACATAACAATAGCTGAAGAGATCTGAAGAGGCTAAGGCGAGAGCCTAGGCAAGAGAGACAATGTCCAGCGTGCCAGGAGGGAGTCAAAGTGAAAAAACTCGAAGCGTGTCTTCGGACACATCCAACATGTAAACTCAGACCCCAGGTGCTAAGACTTGCCAAGGCTTGCCTGGCTCAACATATGACTTAACCATCCCCGTTCAGATTGGACCCGAGGGGTTGGGAGCCCCATTTTGTAGCTACAGAACGGCGTCCCCAAGGTGCCCTTCTTACAAGTTGGCAGAACCCAACGTTCACCGAGGAAGGTTTTTGTTACAAAATGGCAGTCCAAGCTGACCCCTAGTTGCAAAATGAGTCACCGATTTTGCTCGACTCGCATCCGCTCGCATCCGTTGGCTCGATTTGCCCTTTACAGAATGGTGGGGACTGGGGGTGGCTATACTCGCACTATCCTAGGATCCCTGGGAAGTAACCTGCAATAGCCCGGCCAACCCGAGTCGCGGTTCATTTTTTCCGTTCTTTTGCGTTCATCCGTCTGTTCTGGCGTGACGCTGTCTGAGTGGCCAAGCTAAACATTAAATACAACGTTGGATGTCATAATCAAAAAATATAAATATATCGATATATATATATATATGTATATATATATATTATCGGACCCCTAGTTACAAAATGAGTCACCGATTTTGCTCGACTCGCATCCGCTCGCATCCATTGGCTCGATTTGCCCTTTACAGAATGGTGGGGACTGGGGGTGGCTATAATCGCACTATCCTAGGATCCCTGGGAAGTAACCTGCAATAGCCCGGCCAACCCGAGTCGCGGTTCATTTTTTCCGTTCTTTTGCGTTCATCCGTCTGTTTTGGCGTGACGCTGTCTGAGTGGCTTGGATGTCATAATCAAAAAATATAAATATATCGATATATATATATGTATATATATATATGTATATATATATATATATTATCGGACCCCTAGTTACAAAATGAGTCACCGATTTTGCTCGACTCGCATCCGCTCGCATCCATTGGCTCGATTTGCCCTTTACAGAATGGTGGGGACTGGGGGTGGCTATACTCGCACTATCCTAGGATCCCTGGGAAGTAACCTGCAACAGCCCGGCCAACCCGAGTCGCGGTTCATTTTTTCCGTTCTTTTGCGTTCATCCGTCTGTTTTGGCGTGACGCTGTCTGAGTGGCCAAGCTAAACATTAAATACAACGTTGGATGTCATAATCAAAAAATATAAATATATCGATATATATTATATATATATTATCTGACCCCTAGTTACAAAATGAGTCACCGATTTTGCTCGACTCGCATCCGCTCGCATCCATTGGCTCGATTTGCCCTTTACAGAATGGTGGGGACTGGGGGTGGCTATACTCGCACTATCCTAGGATCCCTGGGAAGTAACCTGCAACAGCCCGGCCAACCCGAGTCGCGGTTCATTTTTTCCGTTCTTTTGCGTTCATCCGTCTGTTTTGGCGTGACGCTGTCTGAGTGGCCAAGCTAAACATTAAATCCAACGTTGGATGTCATAATCAAAAAATATAAATATCGATATATATATATGTATCATATATATATATATATTTAAATAGATGTGACTCATCTCGAGCATTCATGACCACTCAGACGCATCAGACTTTTCAAGGCCTCTCCCAAGCCCTGCACCCAAGGCTATGAAAATTATTCTGCGATTTTTTGATTCCATCCAGTTTGTAGGGGCTATAGTTGAGTATTATCCATTTACGCTTTGAATCCATCCAATTTGTAGTGGTTATTGATTAGCCCTCCAGACTCCGACAGAATGGTCGGGACTGGAGGGTAACAAACTCGCACTTCCAATGCAAAATTCCGGTACCAGGGGGGGGTCCACTTACAAGATGGCAGAACCCAGGGTCAAAATTTTGCACAAAATGGTAGCCAAAAACCATTCTGTAACGGCCCTGAGGCCTCAGATTTAGTAACAAAAATTTCAACGGGTATACTTAACCCCATATTCAGTCTGATGCCGCTCCTTGTGAAAAGATTTCGTTCTGAACATGGAAAGGAAGCACAACAGCTGCATGTTATTCTGGAAGCCGAAAAGCGGAAGTGAGCAAACATGAGCAAACAATGCGACTTTGCCGCAGGCCCAATAGTTTTGGCTGAATGTAAATGAGCTCTGCAACTCTGAATCCCAGGACTTCTCACCTGCCCTCTATCTGCACATTCAACCGTTCAAAATCAATGCAGGAATTTCAGTAGCCTCGAACGAAAAAGCCTCGTCAACGCGTGTTCACTCATGTTCAGGATAAAAAGTGTGAGAGTGGGCAGTCACCAGGAAGAGCCGGAGCTCTTCCAGTCACTCCATCAAACCTCTAGATTTTGAGAAAACAAGATCCCAAAATAAGCACCCTCTCAATTTGTCAACTGGCAAGATACATGTCTTTTCTGTGGCACCCTGGAGATTCCTTGAATGTGAAATTGATGGCAAGATCATTTTCTCCGCTCTGATTCACCGTACGTGCAAATGAAGTGGTGAAACATTTAGATGCAATGACATGAAAATGGCAAACGGCAGAAAAGCAGTATTCTTAAAGTCTTGGAAATGTAAATGAAATAGACCTGACCACAAGTCCGTGTGGTTGCTCTTCAATAACAATGCACAACAATGGAGAGCCTTTGCCATGCTCGAGCTTGTCGTTCAGACGAGGTGTCTGCAACAACTCCGTGACTTAATCAATGTTGACTTCTTTGGTCTCAGGACAGATCAATTTGAGGCTCAGCCTGTGCGTTTGGAAAAGAGCCAAGAAATCCAAGAACAATGCGTCGAAAAAAGGGATCTGCACCAAAAAACGACATACGGAAGACAGAACAATGTCAATACACAGAGCACGCACACACACACAAGGCAAAAACTACATAATATGACTGTACTTGCAGAGAGTCTCGCACTAAAGACAAAGCTGAAAGAGACTGAAGGCCTTTTGATCAAAAGTAAGGGGCAGGACCTGCCATTTCAAGTGCATTTCAACTTGAGAGTAAAGGTTGGCGCAGCTGAGCCAATCAAGCCACAATGACCGCTCAATTTTGACACATCTTTCTGGAATAAACAAAAAAAACACAAGCCTCCAGGTTGCTGCATGGGAGGAGCCTAAGGTGGAATCAACGCATAGAAAAATACAAGCTACTCCATCCAGCAGGCGTGAGACTGCTATTTCAAGACACCAGGAAAATTCAAGTCTTGTTGCCTTCTTGCGGAAAGATGTTATGCAAAGGTGCACTGACAATCTTAATGCTCATTGACAATGCACCTGTGGCATTAAGATACCGGCGCTCGCCATGTGAGGTGGCATATTTGATTGGCTGGCGGGCATTGGCGGCGGCTGCTGCCCTCCGTAGCCATAATTGGGGTAGGCCTTGCATGGATGATTTCAATCAGAAACACTCAGAATGTGTACAGTTCTTCCCTTCTGATGCCTTTTATCTACAGTAATATTTCCTCTTGTGTTCAAAGCGTCTTCATATTCTCGAAAAGGAACCATTGTGAAAAACATCCTGGAAAAACAAACTCCTGAAAACCGCTGTTGAGACAAATTTCAATATTTCTCTTGTGAAGTCACTGCAGTCTGCTTTCCCGGCCTGATTTGTCTGAGGACCGGCTTGAGGAGCGCCTTGTCCAAGGATAGCCATGAGATTTGTGACGAATAGAATCGAATAGATATCCCGGACATCCCCAAGTTCCCCAAGCTCGCACACTGGCCAAATTGGCCAAATTGGATACCTATTCGACCTATTCGACCTATTCGACCTATTCGTGGACTCATGGCACGAGAAGCTTTACGGATCTTTAGGGTCACCTTTGGGGTCTCTGGTATCCAAAGTCCCTACATCTTGTCTACCCTTTGCATTGTCAGGACCAAATTCACAAGGTGAGTGAATTCCAAACTCAAAATAACTCAAATAGAATCAGCTTAAAACGCTTAAAATCAGCAAACCAACAGCAGCCGACAGGCTGACAGTTGCAGCCGAGGTTGGTGCCCCAAGTCTGTTCTTGCACTCCCTGACCCCAATGATTTGGTGGGGCAGATACCTTGCGGCTTCGAATTTTCTTTTCGAAGTGTGGCAAATAGTTGGGACATGTTGGGACGTTCCATCAGCAAGCTAGCAAGTAAGTTCAAGTAGTTTTTCTTTCTCTTGCACCAGAAGACCAAATGACCAAATGCTGTAGAAACATGTAGAAACAGCCAGGATAATTTTGAGCGCACCCCGACATTTCCTCCGTAGTTGGAAGCCGTCATCTCAACCTCCGACAGCTCCGACAGTCGCAGCTTTTGTGAAGACCAATGAACTCACCAAAAGGCCGTAGGTGGCCACAGCATGCCACAGCAATCAAGTTGAATCAAATTGAAAGAGAACGATGTTGAAGTTCTGAAGCTGGATTCCAGGCATGGTGGAAAAGCTCCTGCTCTCGAAGGAATTTCTTGTGCTCCTCAGCTGGAAAGACAGAAAAGGAATGAGGTGTTTGCTGCTGCTGTCTCCGCAAAACTGTTTTGGTATCCAACGCGAAGCTCCATTTCTCTAGCCTCCGCCCACTTCAGTGCCGCTTCGGGTGCGTGAAACAGCACGCATTAGCATTTGCAACGAAAGACACAATCGAGGGGTATGAACGGGGTGCCCGCAATGGTGACTACTGGGGAGTGATTGAATAGAATATATAGAACAAGCATAAACAAACACAGACTAAGCTGAGCCGGCAGTTGCGTAACCTAGTCCAACCATGAAGTATTTTTAAGATTCTTTATAAAATTATATAAAATTTAAGTATTCTTCACAAGGACCTCCCCAGCTCCACCTCAGCAGAGTTGGAGCCATTTGCAAGAAGTACAATCGAAACTGCCTGCAATGTCAAAACTCTCAGAATGTGCCCTGACAACGGACGGTTTGTCAAAATGTCTGTTCCCGGTTTTGTTGATAAATCGCAATTCCATGCGTGCCGCCTCATGTTTGCCTTTAAAAAACATGACCTACCTTGATGAGGTGAAAACGTGGAAATTCTTCGTTACCTTTGGAAATCTTTCTAAAACCACAGGAATCGGCTAACGCACGTCGGTTTTCATTCGCTGTCGCTGGTACTATCTCCTGAATGTGTGTCTCTGTGTGTGTGCCTCTCTGAATGCAATGTGCTTCTTGACATGCCTCCTGATCAACGCTGTTTCCTTACTGTAAGCTACCAAAGCGTGAACATGGCTGTGCCTCTGAATGGGCTGCGGGTGGACCGGGGCATGTATTTGCAATTTTCGCTAGCGCGTTGCTAGCGGCGATCTAGCGCGTAAAATACGTAAAAAAATTCGAAAATTTGGGAATATGTGGAAACTGACAGACTTGTAAGAAAAGCTGGCAAGACATTCACGACATGGAGGCCATGGCTGTCAATCAAAGCTAGCGCAAACCTAGCGGGTTTGCTAGCGCTGCCTTGCAGAATTGCCGAATTTAGTTGCGTGCCGCCTCATAACGAAGAGGAAAAAACAGTAGACCCAGATGAATTATCAACAACCAATACTAAACTTCTAAACAACTATTTTTGACAAATGGTAACGACATGCTACAAGACTCAACACAAGACTCAACCTGTCCGCAGAACGAATGACTACAGTGACTACAGACTACAGCCGACAGCTCAGCCACGAGTACCTCGACTCTGTCAAAATCAATGTGAAGAAGTTCCACCTGAATGATTATAAAGAAATACATGAAGATGTAGCCCCAGGATGTGCCAACACCTCAAATGTGTGCAGCAAACCAGGCAGGTCAAGTGTCTCGAAGCTCATCAGCATGGGCTACCTCTCGTGATTCAATCCTGGTGGTTAAATCCATACTTCAAATTCCTCTGCCTGGGTTCCTGCGCCTTGGATGTTACTGCACATGTTTTCAATTGTTTTCATGTTGCTGTTGTTACGACCTGTTACGACCTGTTATGATGCAATGCTTATGCCTTATGCCTTATGCGTTGCGTCAATAAGGCACCAACTGTCTGACAGACCGAAGAGACCCCTGCGGCTGCGGGGCAGCTCAGCCCACAGCAGAGCACAGTGGAGCACAGTGGAGCACAGTGGAGCACAACGAAGCTCCATTGCAATCGCATTGGAATCGCATTGGAATCGCAATTGCACGTGAAAGCTGAGGCAGGGACCCAGCATTTGCTAAGACCTGCATGCCTGCCACGACTTGGAAAAAGGACATCTGTATATATACATAATACATCTGCTGCATTTCAACATATTTGTTTCCAGGAGTGTATCTTTGCTCTTGTTTTGGAAGGGTCTCTCAACTTCGGGTGAGAGAAGCATACTTAATCTTGAAATCTTTTGAGTGTGTGAAGGAACGTTTCGCTCTATCTGAGATTATCTGAGTCTAAGTGCCGTAGACTTCGAACATCTTCGAACAGGGTGATGGTGAAGCTATCACCCGAAGAATTGGGTTGTTTTTTGCACAATGTGACAATGTTGTTTCGGATTCACCAAAGTCTGACCGCTTTTATCGAGTCCTATTGAGGTGTGGTGAGGGATAAGAATAGTAATTCATATCCAGAGGACCTCTGAAGGGGAGATCAGGGTGGCGGCTCTCAGTTTACCTTTCGACGCCCAAACATTCTGCTGTATCTCCCTTGATTCTCTTTAGAAGAATTTCAAACGTCCGGGTTCTGTCCCAAATTTGCTCAACTTCCACCTGGATTTATTTCATACATTTTCATACAATCTCTTTGACTCTAAAAAGATACATGGGGGATCATAGGGTTTCACAACCTTTTAAAGAACCCATAGCGCATAGCGCGGATAATGTGCATTTCGCTGAATTTTGCTTCATATTCTGCACAGGTCCTTAGAAGTATGATGTAAGACGTGCACAACTCTCAACGGGAGACAAACTCGCCGACGGAGCTGTCCAACTGAAGGATAGTGATTGGCCAGTACAGGATCACCTTTAACAGTGCCGCGGCAAGCCGTTTGCATGTGCTACGCTGCTACTGCAAACAAACTTAGACAAATTGCGGTGGTTTCAGCAAATTCCAAGCAAGTGCTTTTCCATTCTGGAGACTGGCGTTTAGGGCAACCTACTCGGAGTGGACCCTGCCGTGGGAACTGGCAATTTGCAAGTGAATGTGCATCCAAATTCCAGGCCATCGACCGACACAAGCATCAAAACTCCGCCGATGAGGTCCTTAGGTATCTTAGGTGAGTAATGAGAAATTCCTGTCACACAGAGACCCGCTGGATAGGCAGGGGTGGGACGGGCTCTTGCTTAGAACAACCCCGATCCCTCCCATCCCTCTCATCCCTCTCATCCCTCTACCGGGGGGATCTGGTCATCCATCATGCTCAACAGGCACTGCCTTTACAGGTGAGGGCGCTCGACTCTGCTTGATTCCTTCCGAACCCTTTGATTCCAGTACAATCTTCTCGCCCATTGTCATTTGCTTCGCGTGGTCAATTCCCACATGCTCTTTACGCCCCGTTGTGGCCAGTTCCTACCTTTTATGAATGCAAGCAAGGTACGAGGAAAAAGGCTACCTCACGATACCTCAGCTGACATGGCAATCATGTAACTGTGGGAATAACAGTAACAACAACATGCAACAACATTGTTGTCAACATGTTGGGCAACTCTGAGCGCAGAGCTGCTTCTTGGGTTTTTTCAAATATTCCTTTATGAGGAACAGGCCAACTCCCTGCAAAGCATACATTGCTATAGCATACATTCTGACATTGCTACTGCTGTGTTGATCTGTTTCATAAAAGGTCATTTGGAGCCGATGTCTGCGCACTGCCTGCATGATGAAGTTCGCAATTATGAAGAGAAGTAACAGGATACCCATGATGTAGGCCTTGATGGAGTGAATATGAATGAGGACCATTCTGCTGTTGCACAAGCTTGGAATGCTATCGACATAAAGGAGGCCATATCTGAAGACTTCAAGACATGCAAAACATGGCAATGCTATCAGATGCTATGAGCATGTTCAACGACGGTGACCCAAGTTTCGTGCATGTTTCATACCCTCGCAAGCTCCGTGAATCATCGGTCTAATTGCATCAGAGCACCACCTTGGCGGATCCAGCGCGTTTCGCCCAGATTTGGGATATGACAAAAAAATGTGAAAAAAATGTCAAGATATGTCAAGGATCAAGTGAGAGAAGTGAGACAATGCTTAGTCTACTTTCACCTCAGTGTCCTCGTCAAGCCAAGATATCTTAGGATAATAACGGATAATATTGGACATGCTGACCTCTCTGTTTCAAGTGACCTTGTTGCCTAACCATCATCTTGGCCGTGTCAACATATCATTGAAGCGCCTCCAAGAGCCCTTGGCTCAGTAAGTGCTTGAGTAGTTGTCAAATGTTGTGGAGAATCAGCAAAACCGCAAGCAGCAAGGCTAAATTGGGTTATAGTTGACAGTAAATTTCTGGGGACTTGCAGGCAAAAGTTTCCTGTCTACACCTCAACAAACCTGTCTGTGAGTTCATAGTGTCGTTGGCAGAAGCAAAGATGAATGGCAGTCTATCGAGTCTATCTGAGTCTATCTCGTTTTTTCTCCATGCCATCAAAATGAACAGGCCACAGCTCTAACGTGGCACTTTTTCTCCTCTATTTTCTATACATAGCTATCTATATCCTGTCCATTTCCAAATCATGTTCAAACTGTGGATAAGTTGAAAGGGCTCATTACTTGGCGGAGAAAGGAAGCTCCTGCTCGTTATGGGTTGCAGATGTTGCAGGTGTTTGGAGGTTTTTGGATCTTTGCTGGACCATCGTTGTGGCCGGCGCAGCGAGCTGAGCTGAGGACAAGCTTGATGAATCCTGGTTGACAGCTTGTGAATAAGACTGCAAGAGCAAACTCTTTGATGTCGAAAAAAGATAACAAAGGCTTCTTTCAGTTCCTCAGATCTTTCATACGTGTTCCGCAAAATTCTTCGTAGTTGGAGAGCCCATGTCCTGAAGCCATTCGTTGGAGGATGCCGACTCGCCGTCTACATCCTTGTCACAAAGGTCTTTCTTGGAGGTGAAGAGTCTCACCTGGAAGGCTAAACGGCTAGGCACAGTTCTCCAATTGGCACAAATTCTGTTCCAGAATCAAAATCATCAAAATCGCAAATTCTCATCCTGTCCTAATCAAAGTGTTGGAGGACGTTCAAGCAATTGACTTCCTGAGTTCGAGGCGATCTTACAGGCCTGAGCAGTAAAAGACAATAAACGTGTGGAGATATATGTCCTGACATATGGCATACTGTGTATATTCTGGCCTTGACCTGACGAGCACTGCACCTCTCTACAGTCCCGTATTTCTTATCTTTTTTGGGCAACTTCTGCAGGTCAGAACAACTTCATCAGATCTAGTTTGTGCTTGAAATGCAACATAGTGCAACGTATATTTCATGCTGCTGTTTGGTCGGAAGAGAATCAACTTTTCCAACTTTCCTTGGTACCGCGCTCTTGTCATTTTCCAATTGTAGTGAACGCTCATGGAATAGATCGTCATTGTCACAGCACTGGGCGGTCAGATGAGCTGCGGCTGTGTGTCATTGCGCGACACATCAAGAGTAGATGCAGTCAAGGCACACTGAGCTGAGTAGCTGAGTGAGGGGAGCTATATCTGCTATATCTGCTATGTCTGCATTGTCTGCTATGTCTGTCCAATCGATTCCAATGGCATGATTTGACATCCTTGTCGTTCGTTTACAAGACGTCTCTCTACGATTCCAAGTTCCGCACTCCAGAAAGCCCCCAGCCTTCCAATAGACCTGGACGTAAAGTCTAATGAAATAAGCTCCAGCATTTCCAGCACATGGCATATTCATATTCATGTTCGGAAGATGCTTCAAAGGCAAGTCATTCTGAGTTCATACCATGTAGATCCATGAAGAATTTTATTCAAGTACTGGCCTTGTGCAATGGCAGGAAAAGGCAGATCGAATAGCCCACTGTCTGGCAGCATGGGACTAGGACTAACATCAACTCTCTCAAGACTGACAACAAGACAGAGGCAATCTTGCAGGGCAAAACCATCCTGTCAACAGATATAATGTAAACAAATTATGCATTCAGCTGGAGCTCCTAATCTCCAAACTTTGACTTTGCTTCATCGACATCTGTGGTTTTGAACGATTTGAATGCTCCTAAATAAACTAGCGAAACGTCAGTACAAATAGCATGGGGCATGGGGCTCAAGGTGTAGGCAGGACATGTCTCTCGCAGACTGCTACCAGTACACTGAGATCCACGCTGCAATCAGAGACACTCCAGAACCAATAAGCAGGAGTTTCTTTCCCATGTCCAGGTCAACCTTCCCAGAGAACGATTCAACAAACAGGTAACAGGCTGCGACGGCACGATATACTCCTGACACTTAAGGTGGTCAACCTTATCCATCAGATTCCCTCAGTGTATCTTCAAGAGTTCAAAATCACTCCGATCTTTTTGGAATGAGCAATCTTTCGCTGAGTTCAGAGCTGGCAAAGCCTAGAGACGGCTCAGTCTACTGGGCGGTCTCTATGCTCAGTCGGTCTCTTTGACTCGATCCGAAATTGTGCCTACTAAGTCAAGGTAAGTCAAGGCACTGGATCTATCCCCAACCCCACCTTCAAATCCCATGCCCTGACCTTGTGGTACCCTTTAATCAGATATGTGGTATCTAGATGTATCTAGCGTCAGTACGTGGTGAAACTGTGTCTTTTTTCGAGTCTGGTCTGGTGAGTAAAGAATGCCAGTTGGAGGCATCCTTGGTCTGGTTGGCAACATGCCGACAAAAATGAGGGACATGGAATGACATGGAGACTGTATGAGACTGTTCAGCAATGTTCAGCAGTCACAGTCCATGAATCCATGAACTCTACCTCTCTACCTCCATCCGGCTGACCTGCTTGATCCTGTTCTGTACATGCGGCGGCGCATAGTCAGGCTCTGCCGGTTGTGGTCCTTGCTGTACACCACAATATTAAATATACATAAATATACACTATTCACGTGTGCTTAACGTGCAACTTCAGATCAATCCAGACTGGTAGTCTCAGTAGGATTGGAACTCACCCCGGATGTCTACCCAGCCTTCTGACGCGTCAGCATCCTTCTCAGGGTACTCGTACTCCTCTTCAACTATTTCGATGCCATCTGAGGGTGGCAGCGAGACCTGCAATGAGCAAAAAATAGGCAAGTGTGCAAAAGTGTAAATGTGGATATATGAATCATGTACCAGTATTAAGAAGTATTATACGAATCTGAAACAAGATTAAACATCACAGGTGCGTTGGGGGGTGGTCAAAAATGTAACTTTCAGATACTTTCAGTTTGAGTAAAGACTTGTCCTCAGTGTGCGAATTTTTGCCAATCTGGGTGTTATTTCTCATGTGTATGCGGTATACGTATACATATTATATATCCATACTATATATGCTTGCATTTCAACAATCAAGGAGGCCGACCAAAGAACCATACAGTACTTGACGTTCGACAAACATGCTCATTCTCGGGGTTCTGCGGCCTTCTTATCAAGTAGATGTGACATTTTTCCAGCAAAGTTTTGCTTGTTCAAACCCCGCCGCTGATGTATACAGGTAATAGGTGATGATCTTAAAAGATCTTTAAAGTATTCCTGAATAAAATTGACTAAACATGTTTTCTGCCAAAACTTTGAGTGCCACGTCCAAATAGTTTCATCATCTTTCAACCTTTCGTACCTTGGACTCGTTGGGCACCTCTGAGGTGGCTCTGGACTCCGCCCAATGCTTCGGTCGTGGCATCGCTGCATCGTTTTGGTCCGGTTGACCTCGATGGACGCCGTGGGCGCCGTGGCCGCTTTGATCGACGCCTTGATCGACGCTTTGATCGACGCTTTGATCTTTTTGATCTTTTTGATCTTTTTGATCTTTTTGATCTCCTGTCTTCGGTGTCACTCTATTCAGGCGCAGATGACGGAGAGGGACAGTGATGTCCAGACCGTGTCGAGTTCGCTGCACGGTGGCCAGGGAGACATCTCCAGGAGGTACTGGGACTGAAGCTTCAAGGATCTCGAACCTTCCGTCCTTGAAATCAGCTCTGCCAAGCAAGGACATCAATCAGACGTATTCATACAGTACAATTGGAAGACAGTGATGGCAACACAAGAAGAACCATGAGTCACAAGATCGTGTACTTGAATGCGGCATGGTGGCAAAGCGTGTCAATGTGTGACTGGAACATGAACCGTGTCAATGTGTGACTGGAACATGAACCGTCTCCTGACTTCTATCATTTGGAAGAGGATGACTGCTCAGAAGCCCTGTGTGCCAGAAGTGATTCCTTACATAATATCCCCTTACAAGCCCTCTCCAGCATACGGACGTAGAAAACTGTACGGATCCAACTGCCCCATATCAACAAGACTTTGCAGGGCACATTTCGTGGCATATGCGAATTGGCTTGTGGCCTTTCAGACCCCAGGTGTTCTATTGACAAACTGTCACGTTCATCAAGTTTCTTCCATTTGCATCTCAACAACTGTAGGCATGGAGTCCTTTTAAACATCTCGGAACTTGCAGCCATGCCTCTCGACTAAGTTTCGCTCCACGTGGTAGGCATTCAGGTGCTCGCATGCGTCCGCGGGCTGGGACCTGATACATGACATCAACAGTCACGAAAAGGTACACGTTGAACACATTTGATTCATCTTTATGTGAAGATATGTGAAGGATGGAGGAAAGAAACCGAGAATCAGGCTGAATCATGAATCAGGGTCGAGAATTCAGACCTTTTCAAGTAGGCTCTCCGAATTTCTCCGATGCATTCCGATGCTTTAAGAATTAAAACGTCTAATTCTGTCTAATTCTGTCTATGTTGTCTATGTTTATACCAGGGTGACCTGGCAGCATCTGGGCATGTGATAGTGAACTCCACTAAAAGCTGCTGAAGTTTTGCCACTGCTTGTTGAAGTTATATATATATATACTGTATCTATTGCATCCTATTGCATTCTATTGTTGTGTCTATCTATTTCTAATGTTGCCAACTTGTACAATGATTTCCCAAAATCCTTCCAAAAATGTCCACCGAGCAACCTGTCGCAGCCCCAGGATGTCAATGGACAATCCATCTGGCGAAATTTGGGCTCGTCGGTCACTAGGTCGAACCCATGGAAGTTCAGCATGCATTTGATAGGCACCTGCATGGAATCTTGCAGCCATGTCTAGGGAACATGGAAGAACCGCCTGTTCCAAGTTCATAACATGACGCCTTTGTAACTAACAATGTGAATTTAAAGGTATTTAAGAACATGACCGTGGGACAAAGAGGAGCAGGGTCCGGAGTAGTGGTATGTTGAGATCTCATGAGTCATCATGAGTCGCAGTCTACATGACCATCATGACCCTTATGTTGCCTCCGGAAGGTGTCACAACTTCCTGCCATTCGCTAAGTTCCATCGGACGGTACTTGGGGCATGGTGGTAGGAATGGCTCCTCAAACAGAATCATGCTGAGCAATGCTTGTTCGACAGACTTGAAAGCATGATGCATTTCATGTTTGTTTGTGGTTCAATTCCATGTGCATCAGTGCACCATCGGGCATCAATTCATTTACAGTACAACATACCTATACTATACCAAATAACGCCGTGATGTCAAGCTCCTCAAACGCATGAGCATAGCGATCGTAACTTCTGGCGTTCACCCAGGGATCGAAGCCAGAAAATGGATACCTGAAACCCAAGTGGCAGCTTCCCAACTGTGCAAGTCAGTGATGGTCCAGACAGAGTAAACAGGTTTTGCATGAAGGGGAGGTTGCAATCCGCCCGTGCCAAAACTCAAAATTGCCAAGCACTTGTTGTCGTCACGCTTATACCGCGAGCACTTGCAAGCAAGAACAGTTTTACAGTAGCTGGGGAGCGCATGTGTGTAGCAGAATGCTTTGCTGTCCACGTCTTTTTTAAAGGTGCAAAACTCTTTTAAGATAGTTCCAGCATGGCCCTAAATGGGTCCAAATAGGCCCAACAGTCCAGAATGCCATGACATAGGCCTCTGATATTCTCAACCTTAGGCCTTTCTGGTGCCAGATGCCAAGCGCTAGGAGGGAACACTTGTTTGTCCAAATCGCACATGTCTGCAAAGACCAGTCCGCTTCTGAAAGAAGCACGAGTCAGTTGCTCATTTCATACACAATTCATTCGCATGCATACTATTATATATATAATATATATTAGCTTCTGACGTGCAAATGCACAGGATACGTGTCAACAAAGTCTGACACTGCAAATGCTGACACTGCAAATGGACTGTCACCATGGAGAAAAAAACTCACATGTTGGTGTATATGCAAAATGTATTTTTCAACCAAAGGGATTAAAAGAAGTTCTAGATTCTGTATTCTTTTGAGCAACCAGTGTGTGTATGAAACGACTGTCGTCAATTTGGCAACAACTTCAAGACACCAGCGTTTATTTTCCACCACCCCTCTGCCCCAAAGAGGTCAAAGCGCGCGTGCCTTTTTTTCCTTTTTTTCCTGTATATTTTTTTTCCTGTCTGTGAAACACACCACAACAAGAAGAAGAAAACCTACCATCATCTCTTCATAGTCAACTTCATAGTCAATATTGTCTGGGCGTCATTGCCTTCAATTTCATCTGGGTTATGCTGAATATGCAAAAAAAAAGAAAACAATGGGGAAAAAAAACTCTGACCCCATGTCTCCTGTCCAGCTTCTCCTCAGGACCTCTCCATAGGTCCAAACTTGTTTGTTCTTCTCGAAGTTTTGGCCGCTTCAGCCCAAAACTGTTAAACAAAAAACAAAACAAGGGGAGAAAAAAAAACGCAATATGTCTGACACACCGGGGAACCTCAGTGTCTCTCAGACTCCAAACATTGGTGCTTGCATTTCGGGAGCTTTAGCATACTGCACGTTTGGTACAAGTAGAAATCTACAAGTACTGCTAAATTATATTAAATTATGTTTTCTAAGGTCAGTATGCATTCATTTTTTGAAAGTAATAGCACATGCCTAAGATGAAAAGGTGTTGTTGAAAAGTTTAAACAAACAAATGTTTCCCACAGGGTCTATGTCTTGTGCTAAGAGAAAACCCGGCCCTTTGCAATCATGTTTGAACAGGATTATTCATTGTTTCTAAGTAATACAATAATGTAATTACATATATATGTATATGTATATGTATATATATATATATGTATATATATATATGTATATACGTAATTATACGTATATATGCTAATACACATATATGTGTTCGAAGCAAAATGTCCTGGACCGTGGAACGCAATACTGCACATTTAGTACAAGTACTGCTACATCATGCTTTCTAAAGTCACTATGCACTCAGTTGTTGAGAGTAAGCGTGCATATATACTCAATATAAAAGTGTTTGTTGAAACAGTTGTTTCCCACTGAGCTACTCTTTGATTGACAGTGCCTCTTTAAAGTAAAGGAATGCCACCTACTAAAATGGAATGATGTTTTCAACAAATGCTGAATCCTTGAATAACAGTGTCTGTTGAACAAGCCTGCTCTTGTCGATTAGAATTACTTCTTCAAAATAATGACCAAACCAGGACATATAATTTCATTGAAGTGATACTGCATCTGTTTGATTCATGTCCTGCCGCTTTTAGAGAACATCTTGCAAAATACAGTTTTGTTCGATCAATAGTGTGGTTTCTAAAGTGAGTATATACATGTACGTACTCAGTATTTGTAAGGTAAAATGATGCACACTTGAAATCAAATGTTCGCTTGACAAATATGTTGCGTTCCAACAAATACTACCTATCTGTTTGCAATGAAAAGTGCCTCTTTAAAAGAAAAGTGACCTTCTCTATAGAATGCTACCTATTGAAAAGGAAATGCACTTCTTGTCAAGGAATGTTGCACTCTTTGAATGAAGGTGTTTGTTGAGAAAGATTGCTATTCTTCAAGAGAAAGCTGCATTTTCTTTAGAATAAACTTCGGATATCAGCAATTCTCATCCTGCAAACTAAAAAAAAACGCTCGCTCACAGTGATGAGCTCTCTAAATTTTGGCGCGCATGGTTTTCCTGGCAAGACAACTTCAATATCTTTCAACTGCTCAACATGACTGGCACCAATGCACCTGCCTGTGCCCCGGAAATCCGAAAGCGCTCTGGGCAGAAACCACTGCCAAACTTCCCAGAAGGCAAAATACTGCGGCAGGGACTCTCGCCATGACCAAGAACGCAAGGACAAATTGCACACAAATGCCTAGATTTGCTGCTGAAAGCCAAAGGCTGAATATGGGGCTAAGTGTGTTCTACAAGATCTATAGTGAATCGCCTTCGTGAGTGAACGGTACGACAAGTCGAGACTCGGCTTTTCACATCGTTCAGCTCTCAAACAATGAAATAAGTAAGCTTCGACTTGGAAAATTCTTGTGAAAATAAGTGCTTAAAAAGAAACCCGTCTGCATCAGCTCACTCTCTGAACCAATGCAACAAATTGCTTTGGACATATTGCCCAAGCAGTTCTTCGCTTCACATCTTCTTGGGGCAATGGTGGTGCCTAGACGACCAGCAAGCCCTTGAGACAGAGCTTCTAAAACCAAGAGGACGAAAAACAAAAATACGTGGCGGAAAGCAAGGAGGTTGAGCAAGGAACAGTCTTGATCTCAAATGGGAGCTGGTGCTGTACTAGAAAAGCTTTTAAAAACAGAGAAGGACAGGATACAGACTACAAACTAGACTAGATATGAGAATTAGCAACTGTGCTTGACAAGGGTAGGCATTTAGATATGCATAATATAAAATATAGGTAATGCAAAACATGCACGGAAGCATGCTTTGAGTGCCTTGCAATGCATTGAAATCTGTGCAACATGGACTCAAGAGGCTTTGAAGGCCTCTCGCTGCTGGTATCAAGCCTTGGAAAAAGAAGAAAAGAATGCTTAGGAAGACCTGCTTGAAGAATTAGGCAGGAGCCATTTGCCTTGCCTTTAGTGCCCCAGTGGCCCAGAAATGCAAAGTTGTCAAATTCATCCAGGCGAGGGACAAGGCTACACTTTTCTTCCTCCGCCAAGCGAGTTCAAATTCTGACCCAAGGACGTCTTGGGCCATCAGAGCCGTAGAGGAAATCTTTTGTCACTCTGTTCAAGGTAGTCTGTCGAACTTACTTGAGGATAATGCAGCAACATGTTTCATGTTTTGCGGTTAAAAACAGTAGAAGGCTGCACATGACAGACATGGAGCACCGTACTTCTTGTGGTGTGCATCCAAAATTCTCGCTTGCTATATGTATTGCTCGAGACAAGCTTGGCTTTCGTCAAGCTGGCTCTAACTCAAACACGCAGAACTAAACACAACCTTCAATTTTAAACAAAAAAAACTCTGAAATCAAACTCTTTCTCCAACACGTCCCGTGTCATACTTGGCCAGCCAAGCAGAGGCATGTACTCAAGACAGCTAGGTTTGGCACTGATTGAAACTGCGTCCTTTGCATGGTCTCGTATTGTCAGGTTCAGAGCTTAGCATATTCCAAATGCTCAGAATAACAGAGAGAAGCATGAATAGTAATGGATATTAATGGATTGTCATGGAATGTCATGGATAATCATGGCAGATTTTCAAGCAGCAAAGGATCAGCACTTAAACCCATGTAACTACATGAACCCCTTTGGATTCACATTGCCAGGGCTTCACTCCAACCTTCACGAAGGTTGCAGGCATTAAGGGTGTTCAGTACGGAGCAATGAGGCTCAGAAAGCATCGAAAAGCAATGAAGGTAGCTAGCCGCAGCTAGCCTGTGAGAGCCTGTGAACCTGAGCAGAAGACAGAGTGTCACAATGCTGGGCCTGTTTTAGCTGTCTGCATCAATCTTATTCATGAAATCGCATCTATGGCAATCAAACAAACATATCATGCAGTCCAAGAAGCGACTTCATACACTTACATCCTACATGATTTGCAAAAGCACGGAATAACAAATGGGTGGATGTGTCTGCATAGTTGATCAACGGAAGGGCTGAAAACCTTCTGCCAACGTTCAATAAATGCTGTTTCGAGTTCTTGGATGCAAAGATAATCCATGATAATCCTAAAGTGCATCCAACTTGAGCTTGAACTTTGGGCATCACTCTAAATACTCGAATTCAGGTCACTGCAAAACACTCTCTGGTCCTTGTCTTTTTTCTTCTTGTCTTTGTCATCCTTGTCTTTGTCATCCTTGTCTTTATCATCAGACTTTTCCTGCAAAAAAACGAATCCAAGAAATAGCTTGAGCAAATAGTATAGCGAAAGTGTTTTCCAAGGAGAAGACGATCTTGATACAATTTGCTACAATTTGGAGGAAACGGTTAGCAATCCAGCCCAAGGACACTTGCAAGCGAAAGCTTTTTGTATGTCCAAGCAAAAACAATGTGGTCTTTAGAACGGCTTGCAAGTAATGCCCGCGACTTCTGGGATTGAGTAAAGCATGCAAAACCAACATCCCAGATCATCCAAGATCACTTAAACCCGTCTCCGCCAAGAACCTTTGGTCACCTCTGGTCCCAGCCTGATTGGGCTTGGGGGGATGGAGTTTTGCCTCAGCTTGTGCTAAAACAACCTGCTGAGAATCTTGGGAAGATGGGTTCTGCCTGTCATGTTTTGATCTCATTCACGCTAGACCCGGTCCTTTGGAAATGCCTATTGAGAAATCAAAGCAAAGGAATTGAGCTGAAGAAACATGTGAGCTCATATGACCAAGCAACATAGGCCGCTTCTTCTGACGGGATGGAAAAGTACCCTTTGTATTCCTTTGGCTTCCATTGGGCCTCCCTCTTGGTGAAGACGTGAGTTTTGCGGATTTGACCACCATGAGAGACCATCTGGCGTTTCAAGCAAGTCCACTTCCACAGAAATGGTGATTGGATGAATCATCTCACATGGTTCACATGCATTATATCATCTATATGTACAGTGCACCATCGGAACCTATCTTTCAAATCGACCTCCAACCCCCTCCATACGTACGAAAACACTGCACAGACACTCAAGGCCACCTGAACCTTCACTTTATCCTTCCAGAGGGTTGCATCAACAAAACCTTAGTTTGATCATGTTTGATCACTGAAATTACTGATAGTCCACAAAATTGGTAAGGACTTTGAATGTCTATATAACTGATTTTGCCCATGCGCCCAGTGAGATGATCCAAACAACACAGCTGTTCAACAACGTGGGTAAATCATAATCAAAAGGTATGAAAAGGTTGATAGATCTTCACAAAGTCAATACTGCACATCTTCGGACTTTGTTTTCAAAGATGGCCACAGGAATGATGCTGCCATGCAGCAGGGCGGGTCGTTTTGGTAGAGCGTCACACGCTCACTATTTTTGGGGGACAGGATCGACCGACTTCAATCCGAAATACTATGGACAGAATATGACAGAATAATATGAACAAGGAGCCATACTGGTCGTCGTTACCGTTGTTGTCTGGCCAAAACTCTGATGTGATGCCACCACCGCCGCCGGTAATGATTGTCACCTTCGGCAAAAGCAAAAGAAAGTTGTTTGTGAAAAGGACAACTATTACGTGATTAGCCGCAACTCAAGGACGCTTGACTTAAGCTATGCGTACTTGTGCACATCAGTACATCAAATTTGAACATACTACAGAGACTAAGCCTTAAAAGGAAAGGTAGAACTATCCAGAACAAATCTGAGTCAAAAGGGAATGTTTTGCGAATCTTCCACATGACTCAGTTTCTCTCTCTCTCTCTCTCTCGTGTCTCTTGTGGACTGTGCGTTGGAGCTCTTCTCCGAGCAAGACAGCGAAAAGGTTGGAATATATCGGAATATGTAGGAATATGTTGAAATGCTGCTGAAATTTGCTGAGGCGAATAGACGTGGTCCGTCTCCTTTGTTCGGTCAAGTTGCTGTTGGCTTGAACTGATTCCGCCAATCCCACTGCTCTAGGCAGTCTTGACGATGGACGTGTCCCGTCACAAACATATCAATACCGTACTGAAAAGCCAGGTACTTCCAGCTCGCCTGAAAAGAACATATAAGCAAGCAACGCAAGAGAAATCTGGGTGAGCCAAACTTAGTGTTCACAAGCTAGTACTATTCATGACTATTCACTCTCGCCAAAACAAGCGCAGGCTGCACAAAACACGACTCTACTCTGAGGCTTTTCAGTGCTCTTCAGATCCTGTCCTCACCCCACCAAGCAGGGAAGTGGGTGACGACGAACTGCCAGTCCACTTTGTTCTGAACGGATTCTTTTAGCTTTGCATCGAGCCAGCCTCACCACAGGACCGATCGGCACACGGGAAAAAAAAGTCAATATGCTTGAAGACTTCTCCAAAACTTCGCGAATGGTAATATGCAAATATACAATAACAGACTTCAATATATAAATCATGTCTGCTCATGCCTGCGTTACATGTAACGTAACGATTTTTTTGACAAGACAAGCTGTCCACGAAAGCAGCCAAGCCTGACTGACGGTCCCAAAGACCTCCGAACCACTTGGAACAGTCGAACACTGAGTACGGCCCGGAATGTCCACATCCTGCGCCTGACGACACCAGAGAAGGTGAGATCAGCTCTGTAAGTTTAAGTCACCCCCAATCCCAATCATGATCAATCATGTGACACATGTGTTTCTCACAAGTCTATCGTGCAGTGCGGTTTCGAAAGCGAAGTGAGGAATCGAATTTGCAACCACCGTGAGCGCAACCTGTTTGGTTGATTGTGACTCCAGTGCATCGAGTTTCCAATTCGCATCAATTCAACTCCATCTGAAAGGCATTGGCACGGCGATAGTATACCAATTGTTTTTTGGCAACAGTTGGGCTACAACAGCAGCAAAACAAGATGCGATCGAATGGTTTCAGGTTCCTTATGAAATTCTATTAGGGATGGCACAGCAGCAAAAGGACGCAAAAGCAAAATCCAACCACGTGGATTTGATTACTTTGTGGCAATAGAGCGCAAACAGCAAAAGGCAGCAAGCCAGCAGGAGAATCCAACAAAATAAAACCGGTCATCAAACTGAAGTACCAAAAAGTGTGTGCGTGTGTGTGTGTGCGTATGTATCTATATATAAATATATCATTGATGTTGATGTCAAAACTGGAACCGTCTCAAACCAAACAAAGGCTTGAAATGTTGCAGTTTCAAGAAGGTACCAAAACTGCGACGTAAAATGGCCTGCGTAGGTGCCACTGTGCTGAGCACCGCAAATGTTGTGCTCAGGATCCCACCATGGGCTTTCCCTGCAACTCAACAAAGATGTGCAGAAATGTTAGCTTTATTTAGCTTTCACTGGCAAAGTCGTTCATAGTGGCATATGTGACATGCAGCAATTATATAATTTGCTTCCTGTGTCAAGCAAATGTCTGCCTGACGTCGAAGATGTTGGAGTCAACAAACAGCCAGTCAACGTTGAAGCCAGGATAATCTGGGCGCAAAGACATTGATGTACATGTCGCATGTATACGGTGCACGGAGATGTTGCATGTATTTTTCTTTTGCATCAAAGGCTTGCTTTGAAATCTTCTCGTGTGAAACCCTGGAGCCGCAGCGCCCAGTTCAACAATGGGCGGGAAACGCTGCATGTTTTTTTGAAACAACAAGACACACGCCTTTGGCCAAGCACATGTAACACATTGTTGAAATGGCTCACCAGATCCGCCCCAAGTTCTCGTTCTGCTGCGAATGCTGCAGAAACATGTGAATTCTGGAAACTCAGGCTATTTGTCTGCCTGTCTACATAGTCTACAGGAGCCGGCTCAGTCCAACAAGCGGTTCAACACGAACATGCCTAATTTGGCGCGGGATCGTCAAGGACGCCGCCAGTCCATTGCACGAACTTGCCATCCTTCCAAACGCTTTGCCGCTTGAGGCCTTTGGCTGTCTGCGCGACTGCATTTCCGTGCTGCTTCCCGTCCTGCCACTGGCCGCTGTAGGATCTTCCATCTGGCCAAGTCAATGTCCCTTCGCCATGTTTCCGGCCATCCACAAACTCGCCAACATAGGTACGGCCATCAGACCACCACATCTTGCCCTTGGGCGCCATTGTATTGTGGGTCCACTGGCCTGAATAGCCGCGCCCATCGCTCCATGTGTACACACCCTCTCCATGCATGTCATTGTTGTCAAACTCGCCTTCGTATCTACACAGTGTAGACCAAATAAATTGGCCCCGTCCATGTTTTGCTCCAGCCTTGAACTCACCTTCGAAGACAGAACCATCTGCCCATTCTTCTTTGCCATGGCCCTCCTGCATATCATTCACCCATTGTCCGGTGTATTTTGCACCGGAAGGATAATAGTAGACTCCTTGCCCTTCCTTCTTGTCATTCTGGAATTGGCCAACATATTTTGCTCCATCCTTCCCAATCAATACTCCATGACCGTGCTTCTGACCATTGAGCCATGCGCCTTCATAGGTCGCATTGCCTTGAAAGACCTTTGAAGCCCCGCCACCACCGCCAGCATCAGCTTCGCTGACAGAGGCTGCCGCTGCGCTTCCGTCGTCTCCCGTGATGGTTTGGGTGTTCAAGGCGGGACCGCGATCGCAGCTGCACGGCGATTGGCCCATGAGTGATGCAGCTGTGGCTGCCAAGGCAAAATGTGCGTGTCTATGTACCAAGGCGTTTCATGACTGGAAGACTCTTGATGCTGCAATGTATACATATATATATGTTATGTGTGTATATAATCATTGATGCCAGATTTTCAGGAGCGTGTAGAATTGCAACACTGACGGAGGAAAAAACGCTGGCAAATGGGATTCTGGGGAGGCCAACAAAGTGGCAAGAATGTGGGTTGTTGAATGTGCAGCCAACCTCTGTCTATGTCAAGCAGCTTTTCAGGATGTCGGGATATCACCACAGAGTCATGCTCTTGTCGTCCATCCAAGCATGTTCACCATAGATTGTCATGTCACGTCACAAAATCCCGAATCAAGTTACATGATAGACTGTGGCCGCACGCCACAGATCATAAGGTTCTGCATCATGATCAAACACAGCAACTATGTGCTATAGCATGCATCGCATTGTAATCGGTTGTATTGTCCGAGAGATGTGTTCCGCTGTCTTTTTGCAGTGTGCTAGAGTTCACTGTTTCATAGCAAGAACGAATGTGAATGTGGATGCTGTCCTAAGATGCTCTTTCGTGTTGTAGTACATCGTACAGTCGATCAATGTAAACATCAAACATGATCAAGCGATCTTGCTGAGGTTCATGGCAATGTATGATAATGGATGCACATGAGACATTTGAGAGCATTGCCTTGGGTTGTCTCCTCGCGTATTGGTTTGTGGTATGTTGCGGTCCATTGTCTCAACCTGTACTGTCACCGTATCATACCAAGATGGTCAAGACGTCTCTGAGACTTTGGGTTTCCAGGCGTACGGGTGCAGCCCAATAGATGGCTGGCTGCAACCAACGACCTGTAGACTCTGGCAGGCCGCCCCAGCTGTATGCAATCACCTGGTCCTGGGAGGCACAGATTGATCCAAGATGCGACAAATCTCTGCAGATTCTCGAAGATCTGAGACTAAAGCGACTTAAGCGACGTAAGTCTAAGTTTCTCTGGCAAGTTTTGTAGGTCGAATCTATGAGCACCTATGAGTTGTAGATCCACGCGAAACACTTCGTGGACATTGGTAGATTGAACTGAAAATATACGTCTTGAAATGTCTTAATAGATTTGTAGAATTTTGTAGATGTGTCTTGAAAATGTTTAATGTCTGAAGCTGACACTGAGTCCCCGACCCAGCCCTTGTTGAACTGCCAGCCTCCCCAGTCGTGGTTTCCAAGCACTCCAAGCCATGGTTTGTCATCAATACCTGGACCCTGGCAATGCGCTGCAAGTTTCAAGAAAGATAAGGCTTAAAGGCTAGAACATGAGCATGAAGGCTAGAGACACACCAAATTGTGACCATTTTACACACAGCCAATTTCCAACTGGTCTTTCTACATGTGAGCTCATGTGTTTATACAGTGTGCTTGTCGCGAGCCTTCCACATTTCCTCGTAGATCCACTTCCACTGCTTGGTGTCGCAACGCTGATACATATTGCCACAGTGGCAGTCCACTCCACCCCAATAAAAGTTGTCGCCCACGTTGATGACCTTCGAATCAAGCTCGAGTCAATAGAATCAATAGGTCAATTACCCAAAGGGAACCAGCACAATTGATCATGGAATTGATCCTGGAGGTCTTTAGACATACACTGAATAGATAAATGAATAGATAGATAGATAGATAGATAGATAGACAGATAGATAGATAGATAGGTAGATAGGTAGATAGATAGATAGATAGGTAGAATAGATTAGATTAGATTAGATTAGATTAGATTGGAACAGATTAGAACAGATTAGATTAGATTAGAACAGATTAGAACAGATTAGATTAGAATAGACAAGACTAGATTAGATTAGATAGATAGACAGGTAGATAGATAGGTAGATAGATGGAGAGGTAGATTGATAGATAGATAGATAGATAGATAGAAAGATGGGCAGATAGGTAGATAGATAGAGAGGTAGATTGATAGATAGATAGAAAGATAGAATAGATTAGAACAGATTAGATTTGATTATATAGATTTGAATAGACAAGACTAGATTAGATTAGATTAGATAGATAGGTAGACAGGCAGACAGATAGACAAATAGATAAGATAGATGAGATAAGATACATAAGATGGATAAGGTAGATAAGGTAGATAAGTAAGATAGATAGATAGATAGGTAGATAGATAGATAGATAGGTAGGTAGGTAGATAGGTACATAGGTAGATAGGTAGATAGGTAGATAGATAGATAGACAAATAGACAGATAGACAGAGAGACAGACAGACAGGCAGACAGGCAGATAGACAGATAGACAGACAGACAAACACACAGACAGATAGATAGATAGAGAGAGAGAGAGAGCTAGGCAGTAGGTAACTAGGCAGCTAGGCAGCTAGGTAGCTAGGTAGATAGAAGAAACCCATCCACGGTCAGTGTAGTTCTCCAGCCATTCTAGCCAAGTGTCGTAGTCTGGATTCCTGTACTTGCCGCGAGCGTTGAACGCCCCAGACACGCGCCACTGCGCATTGTGATCAACTGCCCAATTGTAGCCACCTCATAAAGACTTGCGAATGGCCAATGTTTGCAGCGACAAATGGCAACCAGTGTTGTCACATGATGTATTTCACCACAAAGCAAAAATATGTCAAAATGTTTGAACTACAAGTAGAAGCCCTGTCAAACCGTTTGCTGGACCAAACTGAAAGCATGCGAATGAACAAGCACAAAGTGCAGGCAAAATGCGACGCTTGAAAGGGTCGTGCGTCTTGGTGTGATCTGCAGGCACAGGACCGATGCCCCAATTCAGACCTCGGATTCGCATTGCTATGCGCCACATATTTTTCTACTCTAGGGACATTTTGGTCCTCGGGATTTCTGAAGTACTAAGTGCTCTGCCACCCCAGTCACCGATGAAAAAGACTGGGTTGCCAATTTTGTAACCTGCGTTGCGAAGTGGAGAAACTTGCTAAACTGGAAATTCTGATTTCTTTGGGCCACTCAGACCACCTGATATTTTTTTTTGATATTCCTAGCATTTCTTGCTAAACTGGTATCCTTTCAGAGCCAACCAACGGCAGAGAACTTTTGACGAGGAATGGCCCAAACTGCGAGACTATGCGAGACTCATGCGTAATGCAAACCATCTCAAGATCTGCGTAAAGTTGCTGTACATTTGCACAGCGCCAGGATGTGCAGGCAGGGCAAAAAGTGAGTGCCACACTTTCTGTTTGTTTGGAAAGGGTGTGCCACATGATTACCGCTAGCGTCCTCTTGTGGATCGCACGCAGAATGCTTATTTCTAGGTTCAACCACCGTTTACCATCTTTTACCAAGGAGCGGTCGTAGCTTGAGTTTGAAAAGCAGGTCCTGTTGATGGTGATGCCATTGTAATGCTGAGGATCGCCATTCGCCGGGAACTTGTTCGGCTTGCCTCAAGTTCGAGCTTTTCATGGCCGGGCAGCGTGAAAAGTGATGGATCGCAGTGCTGCATAGGATACCTGTCCATTCTATTTGGTCCAATCCCGTGTTTTGTATTGTTTTGTGGCTGTCGCAAGGAGGGCAAATAAAACACTTTCGCCAAGTCTCGAAATTTGTCAGTACATTCTCCGTGCCACTCAAAGTCTGCACTGTTCGCAACGACGCAAGCCAATTTCACCTCTGAAAGCAAACCCGCAACATCTGTCTCACTTCAGTGTTCCTGCCGGATGTGCACACGACTGCCTATAGCCGGGCCTAACCAACATCAAGGGCATCCTATCGCCAATTTGAGTTTCCGGCAGCAAGCAGGATGGACAGGCCACCGCCTGATGCAGGGCTGCGAAGGCACAGATTTTGCACAATTCCTGACCTATGCTTTTCGTGCGCGTGCGATCTGAAAATCTGAATCCCTGAGCTACTCTTTGCTCGAAGCAAAACAAAAATAGGAAATGAATGGAAATTATCATGTTGAGCAAACCCATTCTTGCATCAGCTGGCTTCGCAAGCGAAAAGGGCCTGGAAGGATCGCCATGTGAAGTCCACAAGCTTCTGCCTGTGGATCAAAAGAATCCTGAAAATAGTTGAAACGGCAATTTGGTTTGCGTTTTTCGAATATGTGGTTGCACTGCCAAGTGGTGCGTTTGGCACGCCAAGAACTCGACCCTGCCACTGCACAAAGTCGGAAAAAAAAAACAGAGGCCTTGGCCCTGAGAACTCGATCACTGGGCAGTTCGAGCCACAACTGTTGCGGATCTACCCAAGGCTTCAAGGTCGACTCAGCCATCTCACTAAGCTGACCCTACCAATCCTTGTGGGGCGCGATGGGGATGCCCGCTCTGCAGTTGTTAAGCACACCCATCATCAACACAGCTCCAATTAATGGACTCACAAGAGACCCTGCGCATTCCTGTGCTCTAGCCGAAGGAATCATTCAAGACAACATTAATACAATATTCCTTCGGTTCTATCAGTATTGACAATAAAACCAGCTTGCATTGTAACATGGACAGATTCCGAGCCAGTGGTGCACTCACTTGTTCTCCACACCACATCCTTGCACATCCTCCGATACTCACAGGGCCAGGCAATCACACGGTAGATTTTCAATGTCACTCGATGACTTTCTTGGCTCGGTTATGCTTTTTGCCAGCAGCACAATTTTGAGTACCCGCGCGGTCACATGGCATGGTTTCGCTCCAGCTGGTCTGCCGGTATGAGACACACCTACATTCTGGACAGGCTATCTAATAGCGGGTAAGCTGTTTATCTCTTGCATTTGGAATCCGTTGACCTTTTTGCCAAAATGAGAAACATTCAGAATTAAGAGGTTTCACATCGCAAAATGATTTCAAGAGGAGCCATGAGTCGAAACGTGTGTATGAGAACCAATATATAAACCAAATCCTTGCAGAAAGATGCAAACAGTTTATCCTTGACAACACATCTCTTGTGCCTCTTGAGCTCTGCGAGTTTCACAGAGATTACATGTCAAGAAAACTCATCCAAGCTCGTGCCCCTATCCAAGATTTGGAACATGCAACTTGTCTGCTCTCTACTTTCACATACTTTGACTCAATGCAAGACTCTGTCCGTGGCACTCATTTTGCTGGCTTGAACGCACTTGAGGCGCTGCTTCAACTAAGAAATTGATAGCATGCCGCGAGCAAGTCCATGTGCCGCATCGCAGCAGGTAACAAAAGCACTGCCTGACTGAGATTGTCATTAGGACTTGGACCTTTTCTTGCTGATAGGCGGACCCTTATACCGATATCCTTGAAGGTATCAAGGCCTTTGTGTACTGCTTCAGAAGAGGCGCTTTTTGCATTTAAAAACTCAGGTTTCAAATACATCTGATCTCACGCTTTCGCGCAGCGTACCTGAAAATCTTCGGCTTTGAGAATCGGTTTTTCCAGGACAGGAAACACTTGAGGTCCAGGTTGACCTGTTGGATTTCACATTCAAGAATCCTTACCAAGAGCTGGAAGCATCTGGAAGCTACAACCAAACCCAACAAAAACTAAGCTGGCACATTGCAGCTAAACATGCGTGTTTGTTTCGATAATGCTCCCCTTGCACAAATTGATGCGTAGGGTCATACAAGCGGCACAATTTTCTTCAGACACATGAAATTTGACGTTTGATCAGGCTTAATCATTCAGAAAGATGCAGCAGCGAGCACGTAAGCGTCCACGGCAGGACCACAGCGAAGTTGGTCACCACCGGGTGGCGCTGCATAGCAGCGCTCCACCTCCAGGGTTTTCACTGCAAACTTGAAAACTTATGCATTGCATTCATTTCATCCGGCTAAGATTAGGCCTAGCAGAGCAAACCCTCGATGTTAGATTTTTGAATCACCCAGAGAATCTGTTGCCATGAAGGTCCGGACGTGAAGAAATTGTTTGCTCTTTAGGTCTGAGCTATCTGAACTCTTTCCGAAATGGTGTCTTGGTAGCGAGACTGCATCCATGTTGTGCAACCCAACTACATTCCAACATATTCTAACTATGGTACAAATTGATACAAAATGCACAGTTCTGGGATCACTCGACAACCAAATGCTACAGCTGCTACAGAGCCTCTTGCTGTTCTGCCAGGCACGGCACGGAGCGCTTCTGCAGCTCATGTGCCCAACCTTTCGCATGCAAAGGATGGCCATGGCAAGCACAAAATTATGCCAACAAACTGGTGAACGTGGCAAACGCAAATGACTTCAAGAGTTTTCATTGAATCTCAGGGGTTCGCTGCCGATTCGCTGTGCAGCTGCCTGCCAAAGGCCAATTTTTGCGATATAGATTCACGGACAAGAACTTGTAAGGATACGCGAAATGTATTGAACAGATACAGCAAATACATGCAAATACATGCAAATACATGCAGACACAGTTACTGACACTTCTGCACAAGGCAAGTCATCTTTGGTTCCCAACTCAACGCGTCCGTGGAGATGCGAAACGGGTGAGACGGCTCAAATCACGAAGCTCAAGCTGCATCCTTTCCTGCCATCGGCGATAAATCGTCGACACTTCAGACATCAAACACCAAAATGTTGCAGACTTTCGGGTTTCGTGTCAAAAGGTTTTACCCACGGCAGACCAACAAGGTTTTTTCGTGGAGAATGTTGAGGGTCAGGACACTTGGCTTGTGCAGATTCCAAAGGGAGACTGCACTCCGAAGCGACTGTGAAAATAAAGTCTCCTATATTCTCCTATAGTCACTATAGTCTCCTTACATCTCCTTACTATCATGCAATGGTTTGATTTCACCTTCATGCAGGTGAAGACTGTTCCAATTTGTTGGCACATGTCCATGGAACAAGTTGGCCGCTTAGCCGTGAGTCAGAAGGAGAGTGCAAGCAGTTCAAACTACAATGAAGCTGTAGCATTTGGGGAGATTGAAAGGACGAACGAATGTGAGACTCAGAAGCGTTCAAGCATCCAAATGTGTCAACTTTGCCAACCATATCGTCAGGGTCATGCAAAGTCTGATGCTGAAACAACTAGAGTAAACTAAATATATCATATGAAGTCATACAACAAAAAGTGACGGAGTGACATCAGGACATCACCCGAATGAACTACATGGAGTTCCCCACGGATACTGTACTTTCCGCAAACCCCAGCTTCATTCAGGCGGACATCACAGATTTCATATCAGTTTCATGCGCCTATCATGTTTGTTTCAGGCAGGCTTTCTGCAAGTTGTGCAGGTCTTGAAAGGTTTTATTTGACGTTCATCTCATTTTCTGGAGGTTTCATGCAGATTTCATTCATCTGTTCATGATTTATGCAAGTGTCCAGACTGGCACTGGCATTTATATATTTGCTGATTGGTGCACAATTACCTCTTCTGAAGTTCATCCCACCTTCTCAGTCCGATATTCCGTGCATGCTGCTCTCTCGCTGGCTAAAGCCTCACGAATTGAGAGAAGAAACGAGCAAGAGTTGCGGAATGGCGATTCGAAGATGAAGTTATGGAATCCTCTTGTCTACATCATACAATTTATACGTCTTTTGTGTAGTTCTTTCGAGAATCTGGTTTTTGATCTGGGATGCATGGTGAATTTTCACATTTCTCTTCATGGCCCATCCATGTCCATCCAATCATCAACACTCAGCTTGAGATATGCTGTGGGTTTTCAAGTTGCTCCAAAGGAGAGCACATCTCATGCAGGACAAGAGGCTTGGGACAGTCGCCGGTTCTCCTCGCTATATTGAGCCACCTGAATCAAGCAAATTCGATGCGCTATTTTCCAGATCGCAAAATGCTGAATTACTAAAGCATGTTTTCTACATGTGCATTTCTTCGCTCCATTTGAAAGCAAGTCGAGTCAGCAGCAGAGCAAAAAGAACCTGTTCGATGGCCCGTTGCACAGAATCTATATTGATTAACATTTTTTTCCTTGGACTGCTAATTTCGCTAAACTCTTTCAATGCCATCCCTTCGCTTTGTGTGTGTGTGTAAGACTTGTTTGCCTGTGCTGTAGAAATCCGACTTGTGGTGTATATTTCTAGTACACATGCATCTGCATGGTAGTACCGTACACTGTATGTGCACCAACATGCATGTAGCATCAATGTGTCCATCTCTGTATGATCACAGGATGATAGGGAAAAAGAAAGAGAGAGAGAGAGAGGGAGAAAGAAAGAAAGAAAGGGGAAAAACAGCGGGAAAGCAATGCAAGCAGCCCACCTGCGCTTCAATTGCTTGCATCTGGCGCAACGAGGATTCACCCTTTAGCGCAAGGTCTTGTCCCTCTCGATGTTGTCGCGCTGCCTTTTCCAGATCTTCTGTCACCAAAAGAAGTGAGTGCTCCACCTGAAGTCAAAATTTGCCAGTGCACTACCTGCTACCTGCAGACCTTATCCTGAGTTCAAAGTGCAAAGAATCCAAACAGGGGTGCTTTGCACTTGAAACGCTTGCATGATGCCGTGCCTTTGTCCGATCATCTTCAGCTGCTTTGCACGCTTTCATCGCCTCGTAGGCTGCCATCCTCAAACAAAAGATTCAACAGAGAGTGATCGCAGGATCTGGATGGATCAGGTACGTTAGGGACCTGAGTTCTTGAGTGTTTTGCATATTCCAACGCTCAGGGGAAGTCGCACTTTAGGCATCAAGTTACGTATTGTAGCAGAGCTATTTTGAATTCGACAGAATTGCAGTAGATCTACATTTCAAACATTGATACACCATGATAATGGTCGATAACGTCTGCCAAAACGCTCTGCTTCCATTGATTGTTGGTGTGCCAGCTCCCTTTCTTCTCGAGCTCGCGCTGACACTCGCTTTGCTTCTGACAACTCGCTGAAGGCCTCTGCCTGAGCGATTGAAGGCTCTAAAGGCTCTAAAGACTCTGAAGGCTCTGAAGGCTCTGAAGGCATGGAGCTGCATCCTTTTGATCTTTGAGCTGCATCATTCTACATACTCAATCACCAAGTCAATCTATTTCATATGATTACCTGCTATTCCATGCTTTTCCATGCTTTTCCAGTATGTGTATATATATATACATATGTGAAATGGTGTTGACTGGAGCAGGACAGAACATGAAGAGAATAAGTACATTAGCTGTTTCCAACAGAACTATGCTGCAAGTTGCCTTGTCTCTATTGAGCTCCTGGGTCAAGATTCTTGCCCGGTCCAGTTCAACTGACGCAGATTCCAGCTTTTCTGCTGCCTAGACCATCACGCAGGATCATGTTCAGCACCAGAAGGTTCCAGGCAAGTTGGCTTCAGTTCTCAGAAGGGTGTGGGAATTAAAGCGTGGATAGGCGTGGATAGTTGATCTATGTTCTACTACCACATTCTACCACCTTTTCAGGAATAGAATGTCTTTCATTTCAGAGTCGTGCATGTATGCAGCTGTAAGTGTGCCTGATGTTCTGCTGCTACCAAAAAAGCCTGCCGAGCAGACAAATCCTGATCTTCTCTGGCCAACTTGATGCGCAAAGCCAGGGCCTTCCAGCTTTGGAAAGCAATTGAAAGTTGCGTTCGAATTTGGAAATAAGATTTCAGATTGACTTTGCGTCAACTTCATTGATCCATTTTCTCCGCCAGTTTCTGACGACCTCATCAGCAGCTTGCGCAGCTTCGTTTCGAAGTTGAGTTGCTTCACGGAGCTCATCGTTCGTTCGTTTCTCCTGCACCAAGTGCACTGTGGCATGGGAACTGCATCTGTACCCTGGGTGTTATCACGGACATTTCCGCAATGATGCTGAAAGATCTGAAAGTTGCACTTGATGCACTAACCCAAGACACCCAAACACACCTTGTGATGGAATTCGACCTGCACGTTTTCAAAGAGGGACCTGCACATATGCACGTGTAAGAGATTCCGATTCATTCCGTTTCTGCTGTCTTTTGCGAAATGTTGCCATATGTTGCATCTGTCGTATGAATCACACCTGGTCTTTTCACGTTTCTCAACAGTCTCCAGTTTGAATTCACACTGGTCAAGAGCTGCGGCTTCCGCTCTGGCATGGTCCTGAGGCCAGGGATGACCATGACCATCAAAGACCAGCAGTGTGAGTGTGTGATGTGTGAACTAAGACAAATGCGGATGAAACCACTTCACTCTGATTCGTTTTCTTCATTGATCCGTTGATGTTTTAGATGGAAGACCTTGCGAGACCCTCTCAAATCGTTTTGTCCACAAATCGTCCTTGTGTCGCCTCAAATCGTCTGCTGCTTTCAAAAGTTTTCCTTCTTCCTCATCCTCAAGAATGTTCCGCTCTGGGGCCCATACTCTTACCATGTACAGCCATCAAACTCACAGGATCTGACAGTATCTCACAGTATGTCAAAATACAATTCAAAGCACAACAAGGGAGTAAAATATCAATACAATATATGTATGTGTATGTGTATAAATATTTGTTTTATACACATAATATACATATACAATACAAATATGCGCCGATATCAGAACCGTGTCAATTTGAGATTGCCATCATGTCTATGGAAGGGATTCCTCATGGTCGGTATGTGCACCACGTGCACAACACCAGTAGGCTTGTGACTTGTGACCATCCAGTAGCACTGGGAAAAAAAATCCTAGTCCTGCACTTTTGACCTCATCAGCTCTGGGGAATCTCAGAGGTCATTCCGAAGTGCAACTGCTACTGTCAAGTCTTGCCAAATTATATCAAATCATGCCACTTAGTCTAAGTAGTAAATGTTAGATGTGTTAGTAATCCATCAAGATTCGAAGATTTCGGTACTATTCGGATCTATTCTGCAGTGATAGAAACTTAAAACTTGCATCATCCCCTCGGTTCCGACTGCACACTGCATCACACTGCACGCTGCGTGCCTCGAAGATCTGCAAGGACTTTTGTGCTGCGGTCAATGCCTTCTCGCTCAGAGCCAGCCGTTCATGGGACTTGTTCACCTGGCACAACACCAAAGAAATACAAAGGTACTTCAGAATAACTACGAGACTACGAGTACAACATTGAGACCATAAAGAACCAGGCCATCAGGTCAAAATTCGTAAAGCATTTCTGTGATTGAATCAAATTGAATTCTTGCTCAAGGTGTAAGAAGGGTCTTTCTGACCTCATCGTGCATCGCTGCTGTCATGGATGCCAGCCGAAATTCCTGCCTCAGTATGGAGGTGAACATCTTTCTCCATGTGAAATATCTAGCTGTGTGACGTCTGCAGCAAACAGATTCATTTTGCGAGTCAAAACTAGAAATCAAGCTGCTGCTCTTCCTTTCCCTTCTGCTCTTGTCGACTTGCAGCCTTGGCGTCCTCCAGTTCGAGCCGCAGCCGGCCAGCCTACAAAGCAGCCGAAACCGACACAGTGAAACTTCAATCTGAAACAGAGAAGCAGCATCGCATATATTGCCCAAGATGCATCAAGTGAGAAAACAATTGCAGAGATGTCCAAACATCTTTCCAATTTCAATGCCTCGCTTTCAACTTCCAATAGCTGGGTCTTTGTTCGGGCAAATTCGCTTTGCTCTTGCAGGGCTGGCTTCAATTTCCGCTCCTGGAAAGCACTGGAAGGAACAGGAAGGTAAACCCGATGTGTGTAGAGCACTACTGAGATGCATGTTACCGTATGTCACCGTATGTCACCGTATGTCACTATGTGTCACAGTATGTCACTGGGAACTGCAAGGTTGCTGACCAATTTGAAAGGTTCAGGTAACTGCCACGGTGTCGTCATGGAGATTGCACAAACACAAGGTGTCCTGCTGCTTGCACATTTCCACTTCCGTTGCGAGTTTTTGCTCGGTTTCCTTGATCTTTCGCTTGGAAGCCTTGCAAGCCTTCTCCTCTGCATCTAAGTCATCTTCCAACTGCTCAATCTCCTGCAGTTCAATATCATCACGGTCCATCATGTCGGTTTCCAACACTTCTTCCTTTTCTTCTTCCTGTTCTTCTTCCTTTTCTTCTTCCTTTTCTTCTTCTTCTTCTTCTTCTCCTTCTTCTTCTTCTTCTTCTTCTGGTTTCGTCCCCATCTCTTCTACCCCACTTCGAGCTTTTTTGGCTACAGAAACATTGATTCTCAGTGGCAATTGTGCCATGAAAAGAAATGTCTGAAAAAGCTGCGGTGTTGACATCAGCTTCACAAAGCCCGTGTGTCCTGCTCTTGACACCAGTTTTGGGCATTTTGCTGCAGGGCTTGATGGTGTGCTGCCAGGAGTTCAGATGCCAGATCCGCGCCTTGCCTGAGCTCAGCCGGGTTGGAAACATCGCAGCAATTCGGATTTTGGGGTATCGCAGATAAAAAAGTTCCCTTTGCATCTCTTGGCATCTCTAAGCTTTCTTGCAGCAAGCCTGTCATGTGCAAAATAATGACTCCTGGAGAGATGATACATGAATACGTGAAATAAATATACGGTAAAAAAAATGCTAATGCAAACAGTATGCAAAAAAGGTTCAATCTGTGGCATGCAGCAACAAATTCGGAGAAATCAAGCTCCGCCAAAGCTGTGCCAAGCTGCGCTTGTGCTTCTCCATGTTGTTGCCACAGCTGTTGCACTGACCGAAGGACAGCATCCTTTTCATGCTGAGGTTCTGCCAAGGCCAACCAAGCAGAAGCAGGTCGAAGAAGCCTTGGTTGCAAAGCCAAAGCAAACTAACAAAAAAAATAAGAAGCATGATTAGATATGAATAGAAATTTGAAGAATGATTGGAAATACGATCAAATTATCATCACGTTCACGAACTGAAGGCTCCACGAGCTGAAGGTCCTGAGATTCTGTGTCTGTTGCCTTGAAGTCGGACTTGCATACCATTGTACGCGGGTACAAGGTCTTTGTCAAGCAGCGGGCGTCCATCTTTGGTCTTTATGCTCACCCAACCAATGTCGCCGGCAGTGTCTTTGATGCAAAGACGCGAAGCGTCTTGACGTCCACCCTCGATCACAAGAAGTCGGGCCTGAGTGCCTTGGCTCGCTCGCAGCTTTGTCAGGCATACTACAGGTTGGGGAGCCGTCCAGAAATTCCAGAAGTTCAACTTGTGAATTGCTTGCCCTGCCCTGTGCCTGCACTTGGTCCAGGAATTTCCTTCTTGATGGCACTCATCAAGTCTTCTTTTTCTGTCATGATCAACGCATCTCGCCTTGGATCGCAGCTGTTCGTCAATGCCACCCACGTCAGAGTTGCCGGAGTTTGGGTGTCATCTGAATCATCTCACATGCCGCTCATGGTTTAGATGCGTCTACACTTTCTTCAGCCCTATGATTCTGTTGCATGGACTCAATTCAATCTGCTATCTCAACTCCAAACTTGCTGAGTCTGGTGTGCAGGCAGCCCGATAACACTAAGAGATGTAAAGAGACAAAGGCTGCAAATGCTGCTGTCAGAATCTTAAGTCAGAGCGTTTTCAAATCGTTTTCCGTGAAAACATCTGCACTGAGGAACGCCCAACAAGCGGTACCCTCCGGAAAATGTCTATCTTCGGTGTCCAGCATCGCAGCCAACCAGGGGCTCACCTTGGACGGCAAAAAATCGAAACGATATCCCAGCTTGGCAGGGCCAGGGCAAGCTGAAATTGATGCCCAACAATAACAAAGTTATTTTGTGTAATTTAATGTCATTCAATATAATAGTATTTTAATGTATGTTTATGTTTTTTTGACTTTGTTATTCTTCTGCATTCTGCGCACACGTCAGTGTTTCCCTCTGCTGCAGTACTGTGGCCTCCAACACCTACAGAAATCCTACAACCAAAGCTACAACTATCCCTGTTGAGAAAGCAGAAGTTGAGAGGAGAGAAACATAGAGAAATAACTCGTTGAAGGCACTCTGTAAGAGTCTGTAGGTAACTCAATTGAATTTCTTGCACTGCAAAGGTCCACACAGAGCTGGACCTCTTTGGAGCATCGCCTTCACTCGTCGCCGCTTGGGCCTGCCAAACAACCGCAGCAGTCACTAGAGCACAACTTGTTGGGGAAAATTACAGTAGCAT